GGGTTTAAAGGCTTTGGGTTTAGGGTTTAGGGTTTAGGGTTTAGGGTTTGGGGTTTAGGGTTTAGGGTTTAGGGTTTTGGGGTTTAAAAGGCTTCGGGTTCGTCGGGGAGCCGCTGTGAAGTTTTCTGGTATGAGGGTATAGGGCCCCTCGGGATCTGCCGGCTAATCGATATGTCGGGCTTAGGGTTTGGGTGTTGGTGTTTCGGGTTTAGGGGTAGCCACAGTGAATCTGGCTTTTCGTTATGTCAGGGGCTTTTGCAGTTCTTGACGAAACAAAGTTGCAGGGTGTATCGCTGACGCGTTGCGTGTGGGGCTCAAGGGGTTTAGTAGTTCGGGGGTCTGCGGCTTGAGTTTAATATGCGGGCCCAGGCCTTTGGGGTACCCTGCTGCTGGCACGTGGCTCCCTCTTATCAGTTTTTTCGCCCGTGCTCCCCACAGATCGGGGACCCGTGCTTATAACCGACAGGGCACCACATCTTCGGATCGTGGGGGTGTAATTACTGCGTGCGCGCAAACCTTGCCTGCACTTACTTCAGAGATATCGCAAGAGCCAAAGACGCAGGAGCAGCTGTTTTCTGGTTGAGTCGCTTTGCACCTTTTGGCGTGTCGGACTAATGTGAACAGCAGTGCCTGCCTGAGGATCGAGTAGTACAGTGTAACATACCGTCATAGCTTGGTCGCACCGTTTTCTGCCTAGTCGATCACTTTCTGAAGATTCTTGTCTCGCATTTTGCGCAACGCTGCTCGACACATTTCTTGGCCTCCATCTTGGTTGCATCCCGTTTTCTGCAGCATGACAGTAGCAGCAGCACTCAATTTCTTGCGGTGTGCCACGAGATACATGGGGAGTGCTCCAAGCTTCCGGAACATCCTTGATCACAGCGTTCGAATTGCCCTCAAAGTGTACACACAGTGCTCTGCTCGCGCTGCAAAGTCGAAGATAAGTGGATACTATCATGAATGCTTTCGGGTTCATGTATTAATGTAGGGGCCTAAATAATTACCAATACTATTTTGGGGTTCCTCATTATAACTCAAGCTTAACATACCCCAAACCCCATCTTAACTATTAAGTTACTAGGGCCACTATATTAGATCGATGCTTTGCTGGGCCAGAAATCACGGATTAAACCCATCCAGATCCCAGCAAAGCCGTGGAAGTCACTCATCATGGCCCCCGAACCCTAGATCTGGTGAATTCCCAGGGCGCTAAACCCAAGCCCAAAACCCTGAAGCCTCCCTAAACCCCAAACCCAAGACCAAAAAACCCTGAACCCTAGAGTCGAACCCTGAGTGAGACATCCATTCAAAAAAGGAACCTGTAGAGCACACAGAAGCTGCAGCAGGCTGGAATCTGGTCTTTGGGTGGTTCAGCGTGTTAGGGCTTAAGGCTTCAGGTTGAAGGTAGTTAGACTCCATCCAGGCATGAACCATCATTGCTGCCACGATTTACACAACGCAGCCTCTTCGTCCTGAACTAACCCCGACCTCTGCACCCTGCACCTGACATCTTTAAGTCTAAAGTTGCAACCTCTCCAAAGCCAAATAATGTGTACCAATATTGCCAGAAACAGTACCCCCCTGCAGCCCCATGCAACTGTAACAGTAATCTGCCCCCAAAACCTGATTCAATTGGTTAAGGTCCCTATCTGGAATCCTTGGGATGCCCCTCAGAGTAGCGAAACCCTAAACCCTATTGGGTGGTTGTCAAAATTATGGTCCCTTTTTGGGTCTAGGGTCTAGGGTTTAGGGTTTCCTTATTATAATACGGCACCTATTATTTAGGGTACCCCAAAAGGGACCATAATTTTGACAACCACCCTATTCGAGCTACTAAGGCACCCTGGCCTGCTCCCGCGTGAGCTTCAGCATGAGGAAGGACCTGGCATCCACGCCGGAAACGCTCAGCCTAACGTCGGGGCCTTAATTAGAATAGGGCTTCTGGGGGGGCTCCTTATATCATAATTCTAGTATATTATACCCCCAAACCCTATTCTAAATGTTAAGGCCCCTATATTAAAATCGCCATTCCCTGCTTCAGTGGCCGGAATCAGTGGAATGGGTTACGTTCTAGCAGAACGATGTTGAGGAAGCCTGAAGTATATCGTAAGCAAACTTCGAAGCACCAAGCCACAACACCAAATTCATGCACGTAAGGGTGCCGCCGTTTGTGGGGGTGTTGCAATCTGCCGTGTGCCCCAGTTTCTGAATCTTGCAACCCCTAACCTCCAGGCAAACCCAAGAGCCCCAAATCCTTTAACCCCGCACCCTAAACGCTACAACAAGCAATCAACGTCCCTCATGAAGCCGAAGCTCCAAACCACGAGAAGGAAACACAACCCGGGCATCACCGCTGCCTGCTTCAAGCTAGAGACGGTGTAAGGGTTTCCCTCATAAGGTGCTGCTTCCAGTTTTATTCGGCTTACCTTTCCCAGTAGTGACTCGTCATGCCCATCAGTGTTCGGCTTGCTGTCGATACGAGAGCTTTCATTGTTGCTCTTGTCGACTTGTTGATGATTTGAACATCACAGCTGTGGAGGGCTTCAAAGCTCCATCTCATGACTTGAAACCTTCCAGTCAAGCTTGGGCCTGCAAAAAGCAACCCGTAAAGGCCTACAAACACGCTAAACCAAAGATTGGAACGCCATAACCAGGGACGCTTCATCATTTTTGACCAAGCCCTTTTATAACAAGAGTCCCCGTAACAAAGCTCGTGTGTGTGTGTGTGTGGGTGTGTCCACTTTAATCTGTTGAAAACCCCATACCTCCTTTGTAAGTTCCATATGAAACCCTAGAAAAACAGTTAAACTCTAAATCCTCAACCCCGAACCCCTATACCCCTCAACTCTATGCCCTAAACCCACGGAAGAGACCCACCTAAGGATTCTATGACATGCCGTGGCCGCGTCGACGGAGAGATGCGGTTCTTGGCCAGGAACTCCCTGCTCTTTGGGTTCGGGGATAAGGGTTTAGGCTCTAGGGGTTTAGTGTTTAGGGTTTAGGGTCTAGGGGTTTAGGGTTTAGGGTTTAGGGTCTAGGGGTTTAGGGTTTAGGGCTTAGGTTGAAGGGTTTCCTCTTTGCAGGTTTCTTAGTGGTTTCTTGGAAGATCTGGACAGCATCGGGGTTCACGG